GCTTCCCAGTACTTGTTCTTTTCTTGTCTCACTGCTCTGGCTAGAACTTCTAATGCAATGTTGAGTAGATTCGGAAAGAGTGGACACTCTTGTTTGTTCCTGATCTTGGGGAGAAAGATTTGTCTTTTACTATTATGATATTGGTTGTAGGTTTTTCATCAATGCTCTTTATTAGGTTGAAAAGATTCTCTTGTATTCCTAGTTTGCCATGTGACTTTATCATGAAACACTGTTGAATTTTGTTAAGTGCCCTTTCTTCATTTATTGAGATGATTACACATTTCTTCTTTATATTATTAATTTGGTGTGTTACATTGATTTATTTTCATGTTGAACCAACTTTGCATTTTGGGGATAAATCCCATTTGGTTATAGCATATACTTATTTTAATATGCTGCTGGATTTAGTTTGCTAGTTTTTTTTTTTTTTTTTTGTCCCAGGGATTCAACCCAAGGGTGCTTAACCACAGAACTGCATCCGCAGCCCTTTTTTATTTTGAGACAGAATCTCGATGAGTTGCTTAGGGCCTTGCTAGCTTTGAACTTGTGACCCACCTGCCTCAGCCTCCTGAGCCACTGTTATTACAGGCACGTGCCACCACACCCCGCAGTTTTTTAGTTTTCAATTGGGGATTTTTACATTTTTACATCCCTTTTTCATAAGGGATACTGGTCCAAAGTTTTTTTTTTTTTCCTCGTGATGTATCCTTCTTCCTTTGGTATTCAGGTAATACTGGTTTTGTAAAATGAGTTAGGAAGTGTTTCCTTATATTCTATTTTTTGGAGGAGTTTGTATGAAATTTAAAAATTATTGAATATTTTACTTCTGATAAAAAAGGTTCCAAGATGTTTTAAATTTAATTACAAGGGCCAAAGGATGGAGGTAGAAAGAGATAAGGTGTGGGGCTGGGATGTGGCTCAAGCGGTAGCGCGCTTGCCTGGCATGGGTGCGGCCCGGGTTCGATCCTCAGCACCACATACAAAGATGTTGTGTCCGCCGGTAACTAAAAAATAAATATTAAAATTCAAAAAAAAAAAAAAAAAAAAAAAAAGAGATAAGGTGAATTAATCAGTTAATAACTGTGGACAAAACCAACAAAAAGACTGTTTCACATTTTAACTTAAATTCCATGATATTTGACCACCAGGGCTACTGTGTCCCATTTGTGTATAAATTTCTGGACTGTCAAGTCCCAAATCAGTCCAGAAGCAACAATTAATTCTCCTTAAGGACTGTACTAGTATCCCAAAGATGTGCCCACTTTGTATAATCCTGCAATTTATGCTTTCCTTTCCTGAATTTTTGTTACTAAACAATATTTTTTAGCCAGGTAGGCGTGGTGGTACATGACTGCAATCTCAGTGACTTGGGAGGCTGAGGCAGGAGGACTGCCAAGTTCAAAGATAGCCTCAGCAACTTAGCAGCCCCTAAGCAATTTAGTGAGACTCTGTCACAAAATAAAAAAATAAAAAAGGCTAAAGATGTGGCTCAGTGGCTAAGCACCCCTCGGTTCAATCCCAGGTATCAGAAAACGAAACAAAACAAAAACTTACTTTCAGTACTGATCCAGAAGGCATATTGCTACTTGCTGTGTATCCCTGCTGCTGGTTGAGAGAACGTCTATTTAGCACCTGGTCCAGTTTTTGGTTAGCACATGTAATAGCTGAATACACCCTTTTAATTTCAGAGATTTTTAAGTCTCAAGAGTTTTAGTTTAATACTTGTGATAGGTCTATTTGTTGTAGGAATCAAGCAAGAAGTGGCAAAGGCACTCAAAGAGCAGGAGAACTCAAACTTTATTTTCTGCTGGTGAGCCCAGAGGAGATCAGACTCCAAATTCTGAGTGCCCAGCACCAGTTTTTCACATTTATATGCTATTTAGTGTCATAAATTTTCTAGTTTAATGATACATGGTTTCAAGCAGGAAGCACCTTTACAGAAACAGCATTTTCATATTCTATATCCTTATTAGCTTATTTAACTTTTTAAAAAATCCATTATTGGGAAAGGAGTGTTCAAATCTTAACTATAATTGTGGATTTTAATATTTTTTCCTTTAATTCCAGTGGCTTTTGCTTTATACATTTTAGAGTTTTATTAGGTATAAACACATTTAGTTTGTTATGTCTTTTTTTAAAATATATTTTTTTTAGTTGTAGATGGACACAATACCTTTATTTTATTTGTTTATTTTTATGTGGTGCTGGGGTTCGAACTCAGTGCCTCACACATGCTAGGCAAGCGCTCTACCACTGAGCCACAACCCCGGCCCTGTTATGTCTTCTCAATGAACTCTTTTTTTGTGTGTGGGGGATACCAGGGATTGAACTCAGTGGCACTCAACCACTGAGTCACATCCCTAGTCCTATTTTGTATTTTATTTAGAGACAGGGTCACATTGAGTTGCTTAGCGCCTTGCTTTTGCTGAGACTGGCTTTGAATTCTCGATCCTCCTGTCTCAGCCTCCTGAGCCGCTGGGTTTACAGGTGTGTGCCACCATGCCTGGCTTAATGAACTCTTTTTTTTTTTTTTGCAGTCTTTCATATGATTTTATTTTTTCTCTTCAATCTTCAATCATGACAATATGATATCCATATTTTGTCTTAAGTGGGGGTCTGTAAACATAGGCTTATTTCATCCCACTTAGAGGTAAGGCAAATGCTGCTTTTTAAAATAGTTATACAGTGGACTCTCTGGTAATCCAATCCAAATTGCCACTTTGTCAGGCTTTACTTTTATTTATATATACATATATATGTATATATAAATAAATTATATTTATATTGTGGCCATGTCATTGAATCTCATTCTAGACTTTAACTTTTCCATGGCTTCCATGATTTTGCCATGTTTTTCACAGAGAATGTCTGACCTTTATTACAATGCCACCACCTTTGGGACTCTGAGTCTTCTTGTCAGCACTGTCACTTACAGAGGCTGTTCACCCTTTCCTCTCCTTTCTAGAATCACTTATTCTTTGGGGCCTGAATCGAACTCTTCTTCATCATTAAATTTTGCCCTACTTCATTCCTAATAATATTTCTTCTTGGGCTGAAGAAGTAGCTCAGGGATAGAGCATTTGCCTAGGAAATGTAATCCCCAGAACTTAAGAAAAAATATTATTTTAAACTCTTCTCAGAGGTGTTTTCAAGGCATATCTTATCCCATTCTTTTATTTTTTAAATAATGGCATGCATATGGGAAATCAAAGAAACTTGGAGAAAGTGGAAGAGACAGTTGGTAAAGATAACTCCCAAACACAATTAAAGAGAGTAAACCCAGCCATAAAAATAGGAACAAGCTTATTAGGAAAAAGTCTGGATTTTGATCTCTTATGTTTTCTGTGTTAATTGGTCTATAGATAAATATAGGCCATGTCCGTAATGAGAGAGATGCATGGAGATACAGATTTGTGAGTCAATAGGAAATAATGAACAAAGGATCAATGGTAAAATTCTGAGAAATGAGAACATTGAAGATTCTAGGAAGGAGGAGAAACCAGCCAAAGAGATTGAAAAAAATGAGTGATCTGAGTGTAAAAGAAGAGAGATAATGTTGACTCATATACTAAGGACACTGAAGAGTTCTGAAAAGATGGAAATGGTCAGATGCTTTCAAAGCTGAAAATATTGAATAAGATTATGTTATCAGAAACCTTTTTTTTTTTCAGAGAAGTGTCAGAATAACAATATAGCTATCAAGCCAGATTGAAGTGAAGATGGGAATAAACTGAAGATTACTGTGACAATGAAGGAAGGAGACTCAGGAAAAGAAGATAACATGATGTCCTTTTGCCCCTTCTTTGTCTGGCTAACCCCCTTCTCTCTTTCATGATCCAGCCACAGTTCTCCTCTATCAGAATGTCTAGGTAACTTTCCATTCTAATTTAAATATGTTTAATAGCACTCCATACATAGATCTTTCATGGTACTTATCACAATATATTTTAATTATTTATTTTTCCTACTAGATGGTACTTGAGAGGAGGGACTATTTTTGTAATTCCAGTGCCTAATTAGCATGATGTCTGGCACTAGGTTGTGAATTTAGGCCAAATGAGTGAACGATGGACAGATTTAGGGATATGTGGCTGAAAAAAAGAGGCTGATGGTGAAATATACAGAAAGGAGAGCTGAAATGTCATCGACGAAGCAATGCTTTACATCTGTCAGAGGATGAGACTCAGTACACAAGTGGTTACTTTTAAAAACGTGGAAGATCGTCTTATTGGAATGGAACTGTCAGATAAAGGAATTGGTACAAGGGCTCCCCTCCTCCTTTCTTCTTTTTCCTCTAAGTGGGAGGGCACAGAGAGAAAGGAGGTAAGACAAATAAGACCAGAGAATTGAGGAGAATGACCAAGACTTGGAATGATTATTTGGAAGAATGAGAAAGAACTCTGATCAGGAAAAGATAAAGGAATGGGCAAGTAGCAGATATTCAACCAGAGGGAACTAGAAACTCTGTGTAGTGGCTTTTAAAAGTAAGACTCACCACGCCTCCTTGAGAGATGCAGGCTCCAGATTCCAGAAGGGGAGGGGATTTTTAAAAAGCCTGACACAGGGCTAGGGGCTTGCTGTGCAGGGGTGGGATGAAAAGACAGGTGCGCAGGCGAAGCGAATTCGTGTTAGAAGAAAGGAACACTTCTGCAAAAGTATTGAGATGTCGCTGTGGGTGTTTAAACTTACAGACCGAGTAGGGAAGGAAAGCAGCCTGGCTGGGATCTCCCTCCATCCTTTCCCCAGTCGACACAAGTCTGTAAAGGGCAGAGCGAGAGTGCGGAGGACCAAATCTCGCACCCGTCGCTACCACACACCTCACGAAATCAAGAAGGTGGCACTAGCGCCCAAGGAGACTTAGCACAGACGTCTCAGGTTGGCTCCAGGTCCCCAAGGGGCCCCAAAGCCAAAGCGGACTCGCCCCGCCTCGGGCATGCGGGTGGCACAGCCTGACCCGGAATCGTCTCCGCCGACCCGGAAGCGGAGCCTTGCGGCGGACGCGCCGCCCTGGAGCCACCGCCCCCTCGCCGCTTGGCCGCTGCGTGGGGACCCGGACCGCGGCGGCTCCGGGTTACCCTGATGATCCCCGGCTGGCGGCGGCGGCCGAAGCGGAGGGAGGATGACCGCTCCCCGGGAGCGGAGTGCCGACCTGGCTCGTTTCTACACTGTCACAGAACCCCAGCGACACCCGAGGGGCTACACGGTGTATAAGGTCACCGCCCGGGTGAGTGCTGGTGTTGGGCAGGGGAGGGAGCCTGGACTGGGACCTGAGGGTCTGGACTGGAGACCCTGGTGTGGGAGTAGCTAACTCTGGGTCAGAGCCACCAGTGGGACTGGGTGCGCCTAGTCGCAAGACAAGCGTCAGAAATGGGTACTTCAGCTACACTGAGGTAGTGGCTGAATGGGGATGTTCGGGGCTCCACTGAAGCAGGTCTCCGGAGAGTCCCCATTCTGGGGTGGAGCAGGGGATGGTTTTACATTGATGACTCAGCCTCCGTCCCATTTGGACTTTCTCTTAGAACCAGATATGCAGAATTGGTCTTTGCTTGCTCCAGAGGAATAATGTACACTTAAAAAATGTTAATTTACGTATTGTCTGGCTTATGTAATGGAAGATATTTCTTCTTTTAACCTTTTATTCAGAGTGAAGTTTGCTCTGAGGCAGGTAGACGCTTGGGAAAGATGTCAGTGTAAGGCTAGTTTTGGACCTCTGTGTCTGGGGTGTCTTTGCCTCTGAGGTTTTCCAGAGGAGACATGTGAGAAAATGTAACTGAAGTTATCTTATGTGAGGGTAGATTTAAAAGTTGTGAGGCTACTTTGCATTAAAATTAACTGACCCAAAATTTGGTACCCATTTTGTTTATATTTCCTTTTGCATCATGAGTAAATTTTAAAGAGAGTCAGCATCTCCCTTCTAGGAAAGCGAAAATAACAACATTGAATAAACTTTTATCTATGTAAGGGATGTGTGTATATTGGGCATTTTGTAAACGTTACACAATTTAATCTTCATTTTAATGATGAGGAAACTGAAATTTAAGGAATTTTTTTGGGGGGAGTGTAGGGGAAATACTGGAAATTGAACCTAGGGAGGCTTTACCATTGAGATTACATCCCTGAACCTTTTTATTTTTTATTTTGAAAAAGGATCTTACTAAGTTGCTTAGGGCCTCACTGAGTTACTGAGGCTGTTCTGATATTTTGAATCCCACTGGCTCAGCCTTCTGAGTTGCTGGGATTACAGGCCAGTGTCACCATGCCAGGCCCAAGAAAGTTTAGTACCTTGCCCAGCTTTACATTGCAAGACAGTAGCAGATCTGGTGTATGGAACCAGTTTTCCTTAACTCCAAGATCCGTAAAATGTTATGACTTATTATTAATTCTTAAAGAAGAGAAGAACAGATTAAGTCACCATAGTACAATATGCATTTGTAAAATACAGTACTCATATGTGATAGAGAGCTCAGAAAATAGACCTTGAGAAGAACCTGAAGTATATCTATATAAGCAGAGTTTGGGGCATGTGAGTGGCACGTGGTAAATGGAAATGGTGTACAGACAAATGTGAAATGGTGGGATGAGCAAATTTGTTTAAAGAGAAGAGACGCCGGGGTCTGGTTTATTGCTGATTGCTGAGAATAGGGAGAAATTTGCTGCTCTGTGTTTTTAAATAAGGTTGTTATATTGGTGGAGTGTTAATTTTAGGTTGTCTTAAGAAAATTTTTATAACATCAAGAAGCCCCTGTTATCTCACTTTAAAACATTTTTTCAGGGCTGGGGTTGTGGCTCAATGCCAGAGTCCTTGCCTCCCACATGTGAGGCACTGGGTTCCATCCTCAGCACCACATAAATATAAATAAACAAAATAAAGATAAAAAATAAAAACATTTTTGGTCATTGGGACCTTCAAAAATCTAGACTTAAGTTTATAGAATTAGAGCAATGTTCAACTGGCATGGTGTCCCCATTACACTTACCATTACACTTATATTGTATTAATTTGCTGACTTGACTGTGTCTCTTGGTAGATTTGGAGTAGGTCTCTATCATTGGTATTTTTTTCTTGTGTCAACTAAGTTCATGGTGCACAGTGCTTAAAACACATTGTTGAATGTTTTCCTCTCCATTCTAAGCAGCACATTCAGCGAATGTTTGGTTCTAGGCACGAGGCCCTATGGAGAGTACAAGGCTGAATATAGCATGGGCATTCCTTTCAAGGATACTTAGAAGAACAGAGTTTACTGTACTTAAAGAAGTATAGTAGGATAGTGTCAAGGGCCATAAGACTCTATAGAGAGGAGCTGTGGGAATTCAGAAGACAAAGAGATGCCTGTGGCTCAGGGGAATATGTACCAATTAAGATAGGTGGTGAAAGATGGGAAGAATCCAGAAAAGAAGAGGGCATAGAAGGTAAAAGAAAGGTTTAACTCTATGCACATAAGACCTGGAGGTGTGAATGTGTGAATTACTTGAATTGGAAGCACTGAGTTTGATAGTTATTGCTGATAATTATTCCTTCTTTACTGAAGGAAAGCTTAACTGAATTCAGATTATAAGTGTCTTATGCTGTGAACTACTTACTGAATGAACTTTTTTGGGGGGACGGGGTTACTGGGGATTGAACTCAGGGGCACTTAACCACTGAGCCACATCCCCAGCACATTTTTTTTTTTTTTGGTGCTGAGAATTGAACCCAGGGCCTCAGTACATGCGAGGCAAGTACTCTACCAACTGAGCTGTATCCTCAGTCTCCCCAGCACTTTTTTTCTATTTTATTAAGAGACAGGGTCTCACTGAGTTGTTTAGGGCTAAATTGCTGAGTCTGGCTTTGATTTTGTAATCCCCCTGTCTCAGCCTCCTGAGCCACTGGGATTACAGGCGTGTGCCACTGTGCCCAGCCTGAATGAACTTTTTTGACAATATAAATTAGAAGATGACGTAGCACATTGTCTTAACAAATGGGTAAAATATGCATGCTGCATATTGCTAAAGTTATTTGAATCTGAAAATTGCTTACATTGCCTTCTTTCATCCTATCTCATTTATTATTTATATTACAGATTTATCTTTTAAATTTAAGATTTGAGTGTCAACATGGAAATATACTTAAAAATAACTGTATTTACTATTATAAAACAAAATATTATTTTTTGATACTTAAGGAGAAAAACATCTTTGCTCAGGAGAATTAATTAGGTAAGTAGTGCTCCCCTGAGAACTTCTTGAGATAAAAATTAAGAATGTTCTCTGTATATTTCCTATTATTGATTTAATCCTAGCTTAAACAGTTTCTGTATTTTTGATCTTTGCAGGGTTATTTCTATAGGAGTAGAATTAGAATTTTTGAAATAACTCTTTGTTAAATTTTGGATTGCAAAAGAGATCTTTCATCTTCTTAAAATTCCTTTGCAATTCTCTGGCACCTGGCAGGTTTAGATAACTTTGTGGCTAGTTACAAGCATGCTAACAAATTCCCTAGTTAAGCTGGGCATGTAGCTCAGTTGGTAGAGTTCTTGCCTTACATACACAATGCCCTAGGTTCAATCCCCAACACCACAAAACAAACAAACAAAAACAACAAAAACAAAACCAAATTCCCTAGTTAAACTCTATTGCTTCTTAATTTTTATCTCTAATAGATATTCTTATTCAGAGTTGGAAAATTCTTGTGTAAGTTTTCTTATTAGTTGAAGGAGGCACATATAAAAGAATCATCAGCAGTGGTTTTTGCTTGTTTCAGCATATTAAGTTTGCAAAATTTTCATATTGTAATATAGATTTCTCAATAACATTAAATGAATGGTAATTCTTGTCTGTATTCTTTTTATCAGTGTGGAATGTAAAGTGTATGCTTTCATTATTAAAAGACAGTACTGCCTTATGATTTAATTTTGTTTACATTGAGGCACAGTTTATATACAATTAAATTTGCCAATTTCAAGTGCACAGTTTGATGAATTTTGACACATGTATATAGTTGTGTAACCACCACCATAGTCAGGTCTGTACAAATTCCTTCATGTACTTTTGCAGTCAGTTTCCTCCCCAACCCTGTTTCTAAGCAACCACTGGTTTGCTTTCTATCATTATAGATTAGGTTGCATTTTCCTAGAATTTTATATAAAAGGGATCATATAATATATGCTTTCTTTTGGTCTGGCTTCTTCCAATTATTTGAAATATGAACATTCATATACAAGTCATTGTATGTACATTTGGTTTCATTTCTCTTACTCTACCAAACAGCCTCATTTACTATGACTTTTTACTCATCCTTGAAATCAGGTGGTTTGAGTACTCTTGCTTTTCAATATTTGTATTTTGGCTATTCTATATTGCTAACATTTTCATATGATTAAGAATCATTTTGTCAAGTTCTACAAAAATGCCTGCCCAGATTTTGATTGGGATTACATTGAGATTGGAGATCAGTTTCAGAAGAATTAATGTCTTTACAGCATTGACTCTTCTGGTGTGTGAATGAATATGTAAATGAATATGTAAATCTCCCCAGTTTGAGCAGTACTTTTAATCCCAGTGCTGTTCTGTGGAATACCTGTTCAAAATACATTTTGTTAGGTGCTGTAGGTATACGTATACATATGGGAATACCTATGTGTCCCCACAAGAGTCTTATTGTCATTTGACCAAAATGGACACATAGATAATACAATGACTGTGTGATATGAATAAAGGGGAACAAAGACTTGAAATACTTTGAAAACTGTCATTAGCAAAACTTCCCATTGAAACACTGTATTGCTTAGAGGCAACCTGCTTTCAATTATTATTATTATTTTTTTCTGGTGGTGTTGGGGATTGAACCCAGGGTCTTATGCATGTGAGGCAAGCACTCTACCAAGTGAGCCCTATCCCCAGCCCTCAATTCTTGATCATATTCTTGAGTAGCCCTTGTTTGAGAAGGAATTATTTGTAGTTTTCCAGGTTATGTTAGCACACTATGTGCTTCTTTCTCTTAGATGCTTTCTTCTCTAAGAAGTTTTTCTTTCTGTCTTTGCAATCCCTGCTTATTTCTATTGTCAGCTATGCCCTATGTTCTCCTTGATGCCTCTTAAAGCATGGATCTCAGTGTAGTATAAACTCCTTCATCAAAGCCTTTATGGTAATGTACTTGGATTTCTTTTTTGAGAGGAGATGCTTTTTTAATGGTGTATTCTTAGTGCCTTGTGCAGAGCCTGGACTGTTTCTTTGAGAGAAGAGTGGAAGGAGGCAGCACTTTCCTTCTTAAGTATCATTTTAAAAAGTAACATATTAAAATTAATTTTGTTATATAATTCTATGAATCTTAACACATGTATAGATAGATTGTATCTATCCCCATAATCAGGAAACAGAATAATTCCATCTCCTAAAAAAGTTTCTTCAGGTTGTCCCTTTTTCACACTCTTTGCTTCACTCTTTAGCCCCTGGCAAGCACTGATGTACTCTCCATCACTGTACTTTTATTTTTTTGAGAATGCCATATAAATAGAATCATATAATATATGATATAAATATATCATAAAATAATCATTATTTAACCTTTTGAGACAATCTTGCCCATTTTTTGTTTGGGTTATTTTCTTGTTCTAAAGTTTTGATAATTCTTTATGTTCTGGATATATTTTTTTTGATATGTCCTTTGCTAATATTATTTCCCATTGTGTAGTCATATTTTTTTCATCACCTTAACTATGTCTTTTGAAAAGCAAACAGTTTTGAATTTGGTAAAGACCAATTATCAGCTTTTTCTTTTGTGGAGCACATTTTTAATGTCTTTGCCTAATACCAGGATGCAAATATTTTCCCCAATATTTACTAGAAATCTTATTTTTTTGCATGTTATACTTAGGTCTATGATGCTTTTTGTTTGAATTTATTTTTGTATAAGGTGTGAGTTTTAGAAGAAGGTTCCTTTTTTTTTTTTTTTTTTTTTAAACATGTGAATGTCCAGTTGTAACCAAACACCGTTTGTTTAAGAGACTAGGCTTCACTGAATTGCCTTTTCATCTTTGTCAAAAACCATCTGTCCAGCAGGTGTGGTGGCACACACTTGCAATCCCAGGTAACCTTGAGAGGCTGAGGCAGGATGATCTCAAGTTCAAGGCCAGTCTGGGCAACTTAGCTAGACTCTGTATGAAAATAATAAAGGGCTAGGAAGGTAGCTCAGTGGCAGAGTACTTGCCTTGCATGCCAGATGCCCAGGGTTTACAATCCTCAGTACTGCAAAAGAAAAAAAAATATTGTCCATATATATGTGGTTCTGTTTCTCTGTTCTCTTGTTTATTCCATATCACACTGTCTTGATCATTGTAGCTTTATACGGTCTCAAAATTAGGTAGTATGATTTCTGCAACTTAACTCTTAATTTTAAAAAAGGAACTTTTTCCATGAATTTTAAAATCAGTTTGTCTATAAAAAATTTCCTGATTGGATTTTGATTAGGAGTGCAGTAAGTCTAGACTAATTTGGGGGAGAATTGATGTCTTCAATGGGTTGAATTTTCAAATTTATTAACAGAGTATTTTTTTTGCCATTTATTTAATGGTTCTTTGATTTCTCCCATTAGCATTTCGTAGTTTTCATTATACAGATTCTATATGTGTTTTATTAGATTTATTCCTTAGTATTTTATCTTTTTTATTATTGTAAATTATATTTAAAATGGAGACAATCATGTCTGGAAAGTATAGGGCTGTATTTTCAGAATTCTACTCTTTCCTCTTTTGGTATTTTTGCTTCTTTTGTTTACAGAGTATTGGGGTGGATGGATAGAAAAAGGAAAAAGAATGCTGTTGGGGAAAGGGATCCTTAATACTTAACAAAAGTAGCCTGGTTTTGTTTGTTTGTTTGCTTGAGGTGCTAGGGATCAAACCCAGGGCCTCTTGCATGCTAAGTAAGTGCTCTACTTGAGGTACATGTCCACCCAACAAATAGCTTTTGATTTAATTTTCTGAACCCTAAGTAAAATTTCACCTTCATTTGGGAACTATTTGGAGGATGAAGGATAGTTACTCTTATAAACCTAAAATTAGAGTGAAGGAATTTTGGGAATAATTTTAACTTTGACTCTATTTTTGGTAGTGATTATGAGTTACTCTTATTATCATGAAAACTTTTAACATTCTTAAATCACTAAACCATTTTTTCTTGGTGGTGCTGGGGGTGGGATCCAGGGCTTTGCAATTGCTAGGCAAATATTCCATTACTGAACTAAATCCCCAGATCTGCTTTTCTTTTTGACACAGGGTCTTGCTAAGATGTCCAAGCTGGTCTTGTACTTGTGATTCTCCTACCTCAGTCTCTCGAGTAGCTGGAATTATAGGCATGCACTACCTTGCCCAGCTTAAACTCTGACTTTCAGGATGTCACCGTGCTCTGTTCTAGACAGTGAAGTTTCAACATCAGAGTAAGGGTCTAGGATGAAATGCTTCCTAGTCTGTTGTTTAACATAGTGCTCTTCTCTGAGATATGAAAATGTTTGGGAAATACATACCCCCTCTACCCTGCAACCTCTTCCCCTAGTCACTTGTGTTTTACTAGACTGTGAGCTCTATGAGGCAGTGCTGGCCATTGTAGCCCTGCTGCATGGTAGAAGTATTTGAGCCATTAAGAAGATAGCTGAGAGTAACTAAGAACAGAGTAGGGTCGAAGAGCATGAGAAGAAGATTAACATTAAACAGGGATGAGAGGTGGGAGGGAAAGGGAGAGAGAAGGGAAATTGCATGGAAATGGAAGGAGACCCTCAGAGTTATACAAAAGTACATACAAGAGGAAGTGAGGGGAAAGGGAAAAATAATACAAGGGGGACAAATGAATGTCAGTAGAGGGGGCAGAGAGAGAAGAGGTGAGGGGAGGGGAGGGGAGGGGGGATAGTAGAGGATAGGAAAGGCAGCAGAACACAACAGACACTAGTATGGCAATATGTAAATCAATGGATGTGTAACTGATGTAATTCTGCAATCTGTATATGGGGTAAAAATGGGAGCTCATAATCCACTTGAATCAAAGTGTGAAATATGATATATCAAGAACTATGTAATGTTTTGAACAGCCAACAATAAAAAATTAAAAAAAAAAAGTCTTTTTGTAAAAAAAAAAAAAAAAAGAAGATAGCTGAGACAGCACAATCAAATCAGCAATTTCTAATAAGTAGATATTGTTAGGGGATGGCTAGTGTATTTTGCATATGTAGAACACATGTGTTTGTTTTCCATGAGTGGTGTACTTAAAGAAAATCCAAAATGTGATAATTCTAATATGTATACCAAGCTAGGAAAGAATTTCTTCTGTCACAAAAAGATCATTTGTGTATGTTAAGGAAAAATTATCTAAAATAGAAAGATACTTTAGTATATTTATAAATTCAGGAGATTATTGATTTTTTTCTATGAATAAGTTATAAAATGTAAGATATATCAGAGTAAGCCTTCTGTGTATTGACTGTTTTTGGTATTTTGTGTATTAGTGGATAGATTTCCTGTGACTTTTCTCTGCATTAGTACAATTTATAAAAATGTAAGAAAATCTCGTATCAGGGAATATTAAGTAATTTAGTTCTGTGAAATACTAATTAACTAAAATATGTCCACATTTAATTGTGTGGAAGAGTGTGTGTGTGTTGGGGGATAGGCTAATGTTTGAAAGTAATAGTTAAAATGAAATATTTGAGTAATGTGTAGTTGTTAACCTATTTTAGTCTCTAATAAATTTATGTTGTATAATATGGTAGTCATTAGACACATGACTATTTTTGTTTAAATTTAAATTATTTTAAATGAAGTAAAGTTAAAAGTTAAGTTGGTTTATTAAAATAGCCATATTTCAAGGGCTCAATAGCCTCATACACATGGCTGTGGCTACTGTGTTGAAAAATACAGATAGGAAACATTCCTTTGTATCATCACAGAAAGTTTTATTGAATAGCCCTGTTCTAAGTTAATGAAAATTGCTGAGAGATTTCACCAAATTTATATATGCTGAAAGTTGGAGACTAGAATGGCTAGAAATTGGAAACTAGTGCTCTCTGGGATTCTTAGGTGGAACCTGTGAAGATAGTTAAACTCTCTGGTAGAGGAGAGAGGGAACTAATTTTAAATTATGATGTTCTTGCTGATATTTGATGTTTGTAGTAGTCAGGCCAGGCAGGTGGTTTTGTCCTCATTTTATAGCTGAAATCAAGTCTTAAGAAGAACTGTAATTTTGAATCAAGCTTTATCTGCTGTCAAGTCCCATATTTTGTTTTGGTTTTGGATGTTAGGAGTAATGTTAAGTTAATCCCATTATTGGTATATTGTTATTGGTCATCAGGGACTATTTTCTTCCTCCCACCCATAGGTGACTCTTTTAATGTGTTTGATGTATTTTTTGGTTTGACTTTGTAGAATATATCATTGTAGCTTCAAGTTCGTTGATTTTCTTTTTCTTTCTTTCTTTCTTTTTCTTTTGGTACCAGGGATTGAATTTGGGGCACAGGATCCCTGAGCCACATCCCCAGCCCTTTTATGTAATTAATGTAGAGACAGGGTCTCACTGAATTGCTTCGTGCCCCGCTTTTGCTGAGGCTGGTTTTGAACTCGTGATTTTCCTGCCTTAGCCTCCTGAGCTGGAATCAAAGATTCTTGTACAGTTGTAAGAAATTATACAGAGATCCTTTGTACACTTTAACTACGTTTGCTGCTGCTTATACTTATAATGTGTAGGCTGGGAAGTGGGGTGGACAAGCTTCTGAGAATTATATTAAGAATGAGAAGGCCCTGGGTTCAATCCCTAGCACCACACATACACACACACCCCCCCCCCCCCAAAAAAAAAAAAAAAAAAAGAATGAAGGCTGGAGTCATTCTCTTATGAATTGTAATATACTTGGGCTTAATTTTAGTTACTTTTTTCCTTAAATTTTATTGAATTTTAGGTAATGAAATTATTATATGGCTGAGTTTTTAGAGGTGATATTTATTTTCTTTTAAGCAAATCAAGTTTTGTATACAAATTCTGTTGAAAGTAATTGTACAAATGTGCAGTCAAGTTCTGATAATGATTAGGTATTTCTGCATATGCTTTATTTTAGGTTGTTTCACGAAGAAATCCAGAGGATGTCCAGGAGGTAACATGTTTATCCATATGAAAATTCCATTATATGTATTTGATAAAAATTTAATTAAATGTTTTATTGAGGAAACTATCTGAATTATTTGTATGTTAGTCTTTGTATGGAGATTATTTTTAGCTTTCAAAACTGCAGCTGAAGTATCCTATTTTAGAACATATTAAGTAGGTGTTCAGCTTTATTAGGTGTTAAGTTATATAAATCGGAATTTAAAAAATTGCTATTCTGGTAACTAATATTCATAAGATGTCATTATAGTTAAGGGTATCTCTTTACTCATTTCAAAATTGTGCTTGTTTAATAAAAAATAAGAGTTATATATTTAAATATTATAATGATAAATAATAAAAGTAGAAGTTCACCTTCTTTTATGTTGAATTGGTATGTTCACATTCTGGGAAGATGACTTTAAATATGATGTTTCTTTTTAACTTTTTAAAGTTAATAGTTCTTTTGCAAACTCTTTGCATTTTTATCCCCTCCCCCTTTTCTCTCTTTAGGAAGATAACCTGCCTGTTGTTTTGCTTAAAACTGTGGACTTCTCCATTTGTAATTACTTTGTGCTTGCTGCATATCTTTAGGATATCCTAACTGAGGAGCTTGCTTCTTCTTTTTTTTTTTTTTTTTTCCTGTGGTACCCAGGGCCTTGTGCATGTGAGGCAAGCACTTTACCAACTGAGCTATATTCCCAGCTCCTGTGAGGAGCTTGCTTCTTTGAAAATTTTTTGATTTACTTTTATTTTAATTTCTGCTCATTTTAACTAACTCTAGAAGGATATATTTTGGGGATTTTTTTTTTCCCCTGAAGTATCTAAAACAGAAGCTGTGAATTTACAGGACTGATTCTGCACATTACTGTCTTTCCCAGTGTTTAGGTGGAGTATAAACTTTCTATTTAGCCACAGGCCCCACTACTTCTCAGTGCACATACCTGCCTTGATTCATACATTTAAGTTGATTGATTGGTACTGGTTGGTTTGAGGGTATGACCCCCAAATTTAGAAAATATTTAAATTTTATACATTACCATCTGTTTATGTGTTAAAAAGATTTCATACTATTTCCTCATGTGTTTTTGAGATATCTTCTGTTTCCTAATAGGAAAAGTATTATAGTATTGTTATTTTGGAAGAAAAGGATACACATGCCAATGAAAATAATTTGCATTCATCAATTACTTAAAGTACTCTCTACTTACATAGCAATTGATTAGTATAAACTAATTTTTTTGGAATTCTATTAATTATGTTGAATTAATAGCCAATACCAGTCTGTTCTGCTTTTGAAAATTTACAGCTCTGTTAAAATTGAAAATGAGTTGTGATTCCTTTGAATTCGCTGATTGCTATGCTGTAGTTTGTAGCTTGATGTTCCCCTTTTCCAGGGAGAATCCTGAACCAACCTATCCATGAACATATTCTCTGCTATTTCCTTAATCCTTTTTGGGGGAAACTCTTTTATAATAACAACTGTTGGTGAACCATTCATCAGAAAACTCTTGTAAGTGTCCTTTAGTGAGACGATTGCATGATCCTTTGTTAGAAATGGTATAATTTTTTAGAAAAGTCTTCTATCTAATTGACTTCTTAAAATATAGAATAACCTTGAAATTATAATAGTAGTTTTTTTTTTGGTTTCTTATTTATTTCATTTAAACACAGGAATTCTCATTTAGGTAGGAATTCACCACATAGACTTTGTTTCCATTTTCTTTCTTTTACTTTCTGTCTTGGATACTTAATTTATTTAGCTACTGCTTTAGAGTATAGTCAGCCTTCCTAAGGACTTTTGAGGACTAGTAGACATACTATTGGTTCAACAAATATGAGGCAATAATATTTTATCCTTATAAAACTGGAGAAAGCTGCTGTTTTTTTTCCTTTGTATCTTGGCACATGCCACCAGATCTGAATATTTTCTTCTTAAGAATGATAAAGAATATTCACAGGGATTAGATTAAATGATCTAGGATAGCTTTTTTTAAAATGTTTTAAAAATTTCCTCTCAATTTTTATTTATTAAGAAGTATAATATGAGCTAGGTGTGGTGGCATATGTCTATCTGTAATCCCAGTGATTTGGGAGGCTAAGGCAGGAGGATTACACATTCAAAGCCAGCTTCAGCAACTCAGGGAGATCTTATTGCAAAATAAAAAGGAATTGGGATGTTGCTCAATGGTTAAGTACCCCTGGGTTCAATCACAGTACCAGGAAAAAAAAAAAAAAAAAGATAATCCCAGCTACTCAGGAGGCTGAGGCAGTTTAAGTTTAAGGCCAGTCTGTGCAACTTAATGAGACCCCATCTCAAAATAAAACTTAAGAAAGGACTGGAGTTGTTACTTAGTGGTAGAGCACTTGGCTTGCATAAGTGAGGTCTTAGGTTCAATTCTCAGTTTATAACAAAAAAAAAAAAAAAAAAAAAGAAAAGAAAGAAAAACATGAATGAAATTGCAGTACTACAGGAATGTTTAATCTGTGGCCTGTCATTCACTAGATTGTCTTGAACATGAGCATCCTCCCTCCAAAAGGGTAAAGAAGGAGATGGTGTTGCACCCTCCATCCTTTCCCTTTTAAAATAGCAACCTATAGTTGTTTCTGTACAGATAGCACATGTTATTGGTGAAAAGAACTAAAATAGAACATTGTATATGCCATCAAAAATTTGTAAATCTTATGTCTTTTCATAAATAAAATGGTTTTAGAAAATAGGTTCATTTAGAATTGTATCTTGATAGAAAAGGTTCTTGAAAAGAGGAATAAGAAAATCCATATGCAAATAATATGGTAGTGATGTTGGTTGCAAGAAATGATAATCCAGCCAGTTTTAAGTACTATATGAGAGTAAAAATGACAAAATTTATTGAATTAGATGATTTTGTAAAATATAGGGATCTAAAAACTTTTGGTGTCATTAAATATAATTACCTGGAAAGGAAATATTTATTGTATGTTAAAAATAGCTAAGGAAATATTTTTAATGATAAAGATCAAACTTTTATTAAATTTGTAGTCTATGTGTGGTTGTCAAATTCATTGATAAATTTTCTTCAATGTGATGACTTATGAAAGAAAGCCATCTTTGGTGAATAAATAATAATAAGCAATTATTATTAATGAATAAGCAATCTGTGCATGTGTGATTCAACAAAGCAATAAATGTTATATGATTATATTTTCCAGTGGGAAAGTATCAGATGTTTGTTAGAGAAAATAATTTTCACATATGTCTTTGGGGACTTTTTGTAGTCCACATATAAGTATCAGTACTTGCTGATGTATTGCAAGTGTACTTTTTTCAATTATCCATTTTGAAGATTTATGGAAACATTCTAAGTTTAAAAGGGATAAGAAGAAAAGGAGGCAGTGGATGTGATGTTTTATAATGCTCTTAGGTATTTTGGTTTTGCATTCCCAGTATTGAAAATAAGGAATGCGTAAGTGAATAATAAAGGCCCGGTGAAGAAACACAGATCTTCATGTTGCCTCATGTCGGCAGTTCTTATTATTGCTCTAAAATATTATATATTGACTTATATACCCTGATACTTTAATCATTATTGTGATTAAATTGTTAAATTTTTCCCCTTAAGACTTGTAATAGGTGCTTGCCTATAATCCCAGGGACTTGGGAGGCTGAGGTAGGAGGATTGCAAATTTGAGGCCACCTTCAACAATTTAGTGAGCCCCCAGCAACTTAGTGGGACCTTGTCTCAAAATAAAAATTGAAGAGGGCTGGGAATGTAGCTCAGTGGTTAAGTACCCCTGGGTTCAATCCTTGGTACCAAAAAAAGAAAAGGGGGGAAAAAGACTTATAATACCCTTAATCTTATTTAATACCCAGTTCATGATGGTGTTTACCTCACATAAGACGTTCCTTTCATAAGCCATCACCCAGTTCCTTCTAATAGCTTGGCAGTGTAGTACTACCATAAGCTAAAACATTTTTAAAATATAAAATTAACTCTTTTTTCCTGGTGACAGGATTATGTTCACGTATCAGATTAGAAACCACAGAGAAACAAAAACTATGATAGCTAAAATCACCTGTAGTTTTATTATCCTGAGACTTTTTTACTTTTTGAATGTTGGCTTGATTGCCAGTTCATTTCTCTTGTTCTGCCTGTTACTAGAACAACTGGTTCTTTGCTATGAGCATTTGTCTTGTTCACTTCCATTGTAAAATACAATCTTTTTCTATCCAAGTAACCCTCTCCAAGCACAGCCAGGCTTCTCAAACACTTTGTATTAGTTTCCTCTTCCTTTTTTCTGCCTGGTCCTTTGCTGTTAGTGTGTCCTACCATTCTGTTAGACTGTTCATCTTGTTAGGAACACTGAGAACATCTCCTGAGTGATTACCTCCAATATGCTCACGGCTTCTGAATTAATAGATTTTGTTCTTAAGCCCAAACCCATGTATCCTGTAGAACACCTCCAATGTGATGACTCCCATGCCCCTAATCCAGATATCTAGAACTGTTGTCCTTTCTTGCCTCAGTCCTGCTTCTTCCTTGCTTGTCACCTTAGAGAAGGACACCTCTACTTACCCACTCACAAAAGCCAAAAATCTAGGTCATCTTTGGCATCCTTCTTTCCTTCTAAGAACTTCATCCTCCGCCTTCCCTTCCCTCTCCTCCTCCTTTTTTTTTTCTTTTTTAAATCTGATGACTACTTCCCTTCAGGCAACTCTCTCAAAGGAGCCTTCTCAAATACCCACGCTGGTTTAGGAGCCTCTCTGTAACACATGCCTTTAGCATTTATGAAGACATCTTGCCTTGTATTTATGGTGTGGCTTTTTCTTCCCAACTAAACTGTAAACTCTTTGAAGGCAGGGATTGTGTTTCTCATCTATTTTTTGGGAATATGGTGCCTAGTGCTAAATAGGGCCATGAAATTGTTTGTTTGGTGACTGCTTTTGTTGAGTAGATATAAAGGTGAAGCATCAGGAGGAAGCACTTTGTTTACATTAATTCATAGTAAAGCTGCCTACCCTCCTAGAATTGTAGCTATATTAAATAAGGAATATAATAATTAAGGTAGAACTTTTGCTAGTAAGACAAAGTTGGGTAAAGAATTTTGTTTGAACATAAAGTAGGTTTTTTGGCAAGAATCTCTTAAATCATATTGGTTGCCTGCCTAAACTACTGTCATTAGCATCACACACTGTTGTGCATAAAGACACTTAGAATTTGTTAGAAGAGAAGTGATTAGACTTTTCAGAAATGCAGACCCCAGTCAACTGTGTAACAAAATTTAAAACTCAGTTTTGTCCTATTTGTGGAGACTGAAGGGGTGCTTTAGTGATTTCAAGGTTATATGTCAGATACTTTATTTTTGCAAAGTTTTCTCTTTTTTTTCTAATTTAATGAGAGTGATGCTAAATAATTCAAATTAATGAAAGTAGACTCATTTTTATGTTATCCAATCTTAATGATTGTGTTTTATCTTTTGAAATACAGTAGTTTAATGGTATTCTGATCAGTATTTACCTTGCCCCCTTTTTACTAGCTCAAATTGAGATTTATGAGAACAATTTTGCAATAAAAAAGTTAATGTTAACTACTTGCTACACAGGCATTTCTTCTGTAGTATTACTCAGTTTATTAATATTTTTAGGTAAAGGTTGAGTTTGTGTGTTTAAAAATTTACTTAGTTATATTGTATTTAATAAACAAATTATTTTTGAGATAGAGAACATTTTTGACATTTAACTCATTTCCAGGCCATTCCAGAGATTAAATGCCATTTGATTCAACAAAGAAAGTTTATGTTATATCAATATTCAGGTTGAATATATTTCCAGTTTGAATAAAATAGTACTTGTTTAAAATAAATTTAAAGACTCAAGGAGACCAGTGAAGAGAAATTGTTGCTTTATATTTTTAGTTAATTTCAGACAGTTAACTCTGTTGATTAGAACAAATGTTTGTTTTGTATTATGAGTTTGAAAACTTTCAAAATTATTCATTGTTCAGGTATAGGAATACAAATGGTTTTGCTATGAAATATACACTTAATTTTTTTTTCTTTAGATAATCGTATGGAAGCGATATAGTGATTTTAAGAAACTGCACAAAGAACTATGGCAAATTCACAAAAACTTGTTCCGACATTCAGAATTGTTCCCTCCGTTTGCTAAAGGAAAAGTGTTTGGTAAGTGATTATTTTGAAACTGTAATTTGAAAAAATGGTCTTGTGTTGTGTCGAGTGCCTACAGTGCCTACAGTATTCTAGATACTTGGTAGGTTGAGGAAGGAGGATGGCAAGTTAGAGGCCAGCCTGGGCAATTTAGGCCCTCTCTCAAAATCAGAAGTTAAAAATAAGGGTCTGGGGTCTGAGGGATATAGCTCAGTGGTAGAGCACCCCTGGATTCAACCTGCACTATTGAACAAAAAACCAAAACAAAACAACAAAAAAGCAACAGCTTAGGAGTGAGGGTTAGCTAAGTTTTGTGTGTGGATGCCAAACCCTGACATACAACACTTTGAAGTCACGAACCCTTTTATTTATTAAGATAATTCATTTTGTTTATCAAAATCAACTTGAGGTTGCTCCTTTATATTCTTTCTTTCTTTCTTTTTTTTTTTTTTGGTACTGGGGAATGAACTCAGGGGCACTCAGCCACTGAGTCACATCCCTAGCCCTTTTTTGTATTTTTATTTAGAGACAGGGTCTCGCTGAGTTGCTTAGCACCTCACTTTTGTTGAGGCTGGACTCACATCCTCTTGCCTCAGCCTCCCGAGCTGCTGGGATTACAGGTGTGCACCATTGCGCCCGGCTCCTTCATGTTCTTGATGTATTCTTGGTGTAGTTTTGTTTATGCAGAATACATTTACTCTTCACTTGCGTGAAATAATAACTCCAGTTTTAACCAAATGAGTAAAAAACATTTACAAACCCAAGAAAAGATATTAAATTATTTTTATAGTTCTGAAATTCTTTGATTTAAAAATAAAGCCTCTATGTTTCCCTGAATATTTTTCTCTTCTCATAATATGAATTAATAGTTGAACAATTTGGGATGGTGCTCTGGGTATGTTATTGTCAATATTGCTGAGATCAGTTAAACAAAAAAAAATATTTGATAGGATTTATTTATATATTTGTTATAGAAAAGGTAGAAAGTGGGGCTGGGGATATGGCTCAAGCGGTAGCGCGCTCGCCTGGCATGCGTGCAGCCCGGGTTTGATCCTCAGCACCACATACAAACAAAGATGTTATGTCCGCCGAAAACTAAAAAATAAATAAAAAAAAAGAAAAGAAAAGGTAGAAAGTATGGAAAACATATTACCCTACACAGAATGACAAGAGTAAAAGCCACCAAAAAACAGTCTCTGATTACATGATTAATAATTCGGATCATGTCTTATCAATCATTTTTCCATGTGGTTTTTATGTGTACATATTAATTTTAAAAAAGACTACATTATACTTATTATTTTTAAAGTTGCCTTTTTAAAAAACATATCAATTTATTGGGAATATGTTCCTATGTGAAAAAAGTCTTCTAGAACATGTTTTTAATTTTATATGGATTTATCATAGTTTCCTTTGGGTAGACCTTTGGGTTATTTTTTTTATTTTTTTTTTTAAGAGAGAGTGTGAGAGAGAGGGAGGGAGAGAGAGATAATTTTTTAACATTTATTTTTTAGTTTTTGGCGAACACAACATCTTTGTTTGTATGTGGTGTCGAGGATCGAACCCGGGCCGCATGCATGCCAGGCGAGCGCGCCACAGCTTGAGCTACATCCCCAGCCCTTAGGTTGGTTTTAATTAGTTAAGAGTATGGATTTTAGGATCAGTTGGATCTAAAATTGAATTCTGTCTTTGCTATTTACTACGTCTGTAATCTAGGGACTTATCCTTTTTTGAGCCTCTGCTTTCTGATCATTAAAATGGACATTATAATGTATGGATTAAATAAGTAAAGTGTATGAAGTATTTAATGGTGGCTGGTACCTACTAAGGATCTATTAACTGGTGGTTACTTTATTTGTCATTTTAATATTTTTACTGATTAATAAATATTTTCTCTCCTTGATTTAAATTCACAGTTATACTTTTTTTTTGATCTCAGTCTCTTTTTTTGGCATCTGGCTTTTTGTTAGTCTCTGGTAATAGGGGGCACTAGAGAGAGGCTGGAAGGTTGGAAGAAGAAACGTGCCTTTTTTTTAACTTCCTGGTCCTGTTTGCATGAACCCAGGAAACTTCTTTACCCTGACAGATGCTGTTGTTTCAATAGCAGCAGTTGATTGTTCCTTGTAGTGTCCTTGCATCATCCCACTGCTTCCCTGAGTGGTATCCTCCCACTACCCCATACCCTTCTCAGGGGCCTTAGTGTCAGCTCCAAGGTAGGACCCTGCCTCTAAGCTTCTAACTTTAATTCTGTCTTCTTCCCTTTGTTTTACCAGAATCAGTGATAGTAGTTGTGGCAGCTTTTCATTTTTTAGGAAACAAGCAAAATGAAATTTAATGGAAAAAATCTGAAATACTATATTTAGATTAGGAAATCAGTTACACAAATAGTAGCCTGATGACCTGACAGTAGTTCAAATTAAATCCCTATAATTGGATATTTAATTGAAAAAGATTGGAATTAGTAGTTTAACAGGGTTGTTTGCTATTAAAACTTTTATAATTTAAAGCTTTATGTAATTAAAAAATTAAGTTGAAGTAAAATACATATAACATAAAATTTACCATTTTAATAATTAGTAAGGATATAGCTCATTGGCAGTAGGTACTTTTTTTTTCCCTGGTGGTGGTGCTGGGGATTGAACACAGGGCCTTGTGCATGTGAGCAAGCACTCTATCAACTCAGCTATATCCCCAGGCACCCCCCCACCCCCACCCCCAGTAAGTACTTTTACATTGTTGTTTACTATGAATAGTTGTCATTACTACTGTTCATCTCCAAAAGTCTTTTCTTCTTGCAAAATTGAATCTCTATACCAATCAAATAATAACTCCCCATTTCCCTCATCCCTAGCCCCTGGCAAACACTCTTCTGTTTTCTATCCCTGAATTTGACTACTCTAGGTACTTTATGAAAATTGAACCATAAAATATCTGACCTTTTGTGACTGCCTTGTCCTTAGCATAATGTCCTTTAGGTTTATTCATGTTGATTCAGGTGTCAGAATTTCTTTCCCTTTTAAGGCTGAATAATATTCCATTGTGTGTGTGTGTGTGTATGTGTGTGTGTGTATGTGTGTATTACATTTTGTTCATTCCCTCATCTGTTGATGGACAGTTGGATTGCTTTTCCCTTTTGGCTGTTGTGAATAAAACTGTCATGAATGTGGGTATACAGAGATATTTGTTCAAGACTGTACTTTGAGTTCTTTTGGGTATATGCATTCAGAAATCAAAGTGCTGGATTATATGGTAATTTTATTTTTAATTGTTTGAGGAGTTGCCGTATTGTTTTGCATAGTGGCTGTACCATTTTACATTTACCAGCTGTGCACAGGGTTCCAGTTCTCCACGTTCTTGGCAACACTCATTACTTTCTGGTATATCTTGACTATTTCTCATCTGAAGTGCCTGGGACTAGAAATGTTTCAGATTTCAGAGTTTTTCAGATTTTGGAGTTTTTACATAGACTTCACCAATTGAGTGTCCCTGCTCTGAAAATCTGAAATTTGCAGTGCTCTAAAATCCTAACATGCTAACAATGCCTCCCAAATTTAGATTTTGGAGGTTTTGGATTTCATACTTTCTGATTAGAAATGCTCAATCTGCAGGTGTTTTTGGCTACTACCTTTTGATACCTTAGCGTTCCCTTTTCCCTCATCAATTTCAAACACTGAATTCACAATTTTTTAAATTAAATTCTCTCTGTTAAAATAACTGGCGTGGTTTCTGTCCCTGACTGGACTTGACCAGTAGGTATTAAATATTATTTCTTAATTTTTTTATAACACTATCATAAATCTTCTCATGTGGATAAACATTTCATCATATTATTTTTTCACAATCAATTTCTGCATAGTGAATTTCATTATTTTTTAAACTGAATAATTTTTCAGATTATAAAAGTGGTATATGCAAATAGCTCTGAAAAAATACTTAAGTAAAACACTTAAAAAGTGAATACAATTTCAAACTTAATATGATTTCCTTGATAGTATAATATTTTGGCATTTCATTCTAGACTCTGTGCAAAGTGTATTTTTGTACATGTGAGTGTGTATATGCTTCCTTCCTTTATACATGTAAACCTTAGAAAAGAAATTTTGCAATGTTTGATTTTGTAACTTCTCTTTAAATAATGGTATATTACAATTGTCTTTTATGGCCATCAGAATGATCTATATTATAATTCTATATATATTAAATATATAGAATTCCAGTTTTTGTATGTACTGTAATTTTGAACCAATCTTTTACTGATATATTATTTTTAGTTTCTTTGCTGTAAGAAACAATGCTACAGTTATAAATTCTTGGGAGTAGAATTGCACAGTTAAGGAGTATGTATATTTTTGAGGCATATTGTCTTATTGTTTTCAAATAATTATAATATCAATATCCTTTTATGTTGGAATTTCTTCTTTAAAAATTAAAGTAATACAGACATATAGCTAAGAAAAATGAAAACTAAGACAAAACAAAGCTAGTATAGAAGAATGTACGATAAAAATGACAATGGTTTCTCACTTTTATTTCTAGGAATAACTGAATTTTATTCCTTTCTGTGTTTTGTTTTTGAAATTCTTATTTCCTTATCTATTTTGATAAGTTTATGCCATGTTTTCTTGATTTAACAGGTTTGGACATACTCTTGACCTGCTATTCTGATGGATATTTAGCTTACTAATCTTGTTTTCTTGTATTAGTACATAACATAATATTATTAGTTTCTCTATTGACTACTTTCCTATTTATTATTGCATAAGTAAGATTAACATCATTTATTTTTGTAAGAAGTCTCTAATAGCATTTTTCTCCTTCCTTTAATTTGTTCAGCCCCTTTTAACCACTTAACTTTTGAAATCTGTACATATATTCTAACATTTGTCAATTTGTTCAGTAATTATAATTAAGCTTAATATATAGGATGATTCTCAAAGCTGAAATTTTAATTAAGCTTAATATATAGGATGATTCTCAAAGCTGAAATTCTCAAGGCATCATTTATAACATTTATA